GCTTTAACAAGTCACGCTGACAGTGGACCAATCTTGAGAAAAATATACACATGGGGCCCAATATATAATGGGTTGGCGCAATATCAATACAGGATGGATTAGGGCACCACACCACACCACATGATCATACTGTTTCATAATTATGGCTGCAAGTCGGGTTAGGTTGAGGCAAACCCTAGCTCAATCCTAAGTTCTAGCCCCCAAACCTAACTCTAATCTAATCTAACCTCCAACACAATTTTACCTAACCCTAACTCTGACCATAATTAAATTCCTTTAATCCTAACCCAATTCAACCTTCTTCCCATCCCTTAAAACCTTGTAAAACTTCTTAATCTTATATTTTAACTCAACTTTCATTGTATATTAGGTATGATCCCAAAATTTTGTTTATCTTGTGATCAGGGGTGGAGCTAGAATTTTTTTGTGAGGGGGGCCAAAACCTGAAGTGAAATGGGGGAGGAAGGAATAAGTATGGATGGGCCCATAGGGAGCCAACCATTGGGGTGGAGAGTTTGGGAGGGGGGAAATTTTACATAGAAAGCTCTATTTCCAAGTGAAAAATTCTGGACCATGGGGGGGCCATGGCTCCCCTGGTCCCCTTGGCTCTGCCCCAGCTTGTGATAATATGAATGAACTGGAATCTTGGTAATCAACCAAACTACGAATGAAGCATATGTATAAAGTGCATGAATCAAACAAGAATTGAGTTGACCAAACAAAACATGGCAAGTTGGCAACTAATAAGGGGGTCAAACGCCAACTAGGGTGTTATGCGGTTAAAAACCGTAAAATCGAACTGAATCGAACTAAATTTGTAGTTTGGTTCAGTCTATATTCATAAAGGTTTGGTTCGGTTTAACAAATTTGAAAAATACGATTTACGGTTTGGTTTATTAAATTTTATAAGCCAAATCAAACCATAAATCATAAACCGTATTAATATATATCCATATATATATGTGTGAAATTATGAATATATAAATATATAAATTAAATTTTAATTTTTTAATTATTTATCTTGACTCTTCTCTCTTCTCTTCGATAATCAATACCCTACCCACCTGGTTTTCTTCCTAGAGAACACTGAACATTGAAAGAGAGAGAACCTCATGTCCTCAGCCCTCCCTCTGTATGCATCGCTAGTTTAGTGTCGCCGATTACTATTGATCATATCTTTGCCGTATGCGATAAATACTCTCTCTCTCTCTTTCTCTCTCTTGCTCGCTCGCTCATTTTCATTATCTGATACAAACAAAACCCTAACCATTGTCACCGGCTTGCCGCCCCACCATTTTCATTGACTCACCGCCAACCACTCCACCATTGTCGTTGCTCCCCTCTCCCTCTCATCTTGTCATCTCTCTCTCTTGCTCTCTCACTCATTCTCATTATCTGGTACAAACAAAATCCTAACCATTGTTGCCACCCCACCAATTTCACTGACTCACCGCTAGCTAGTCCATCATTGTCATTGCTCCCCTCTCGCTCTCATCTTGTCGTCTCTCTTCCAACCCTAACAAAACACCCTAACCAAGAAGGCCAGGAAACTCTCTTCCTCTATTCAAACAAACCTATCCGCCCTAGTCCAGCTAACTGCTGCAATCTCTTTATCATCTTCCCATCTCCTCTCTAGTCTCTTCTATTATTTGAAAAAGAAAATCCTTAAGAGCCTAATCCCTTTATCTCTTCCCTGATGCAATGATATAGGTTCAACTGTTAACACCAAGGAGCATAACTGGAATTGGAACTCTAAGAATACAAGAACAAAATTCGAATTTGGTGTTAGCATCCGATTTTTGCTTAGTCTACTGTCTAAACTCCCAATTCACCCTCGAACACTGATAAAACCATTCTGACCCTATCGAAATCCAAAGAATCCAAAGAACCCAAATCTTAACCCCTAAATCCCTAAAATCCATCGTTGAACCCACCTAATACCCTTAAAGCCCCAAAATACCCCTTCTCTCTAAATTTCCAAAATGCCCTTGATCAAATTACCAAAATACCCTTAACGTCAAATACCCAAAACCACCCATTTTTCAAGTCAACGAAAATGCCCTTCATACCCTAAAATCCCAAAAATACCCTCCAAACCAAACTTCCAAAATACCCTTCCATTTCAAATTCCGAAAATGACCCTTCAAAAATACTAAAATACCCCTTGCTTGAATTCCCAAAAATACCCCTCCATTTCAAATTCTCCAAATGACCCTTCAAAATTACCAAAATACCCCTTGCTTGAACTCCAAAAAATACCCCTTAGAACAAACTTCCAAAATACCCCTCCATTTCAAAGTCCCAAAATGACCCTTCAAAATTACCAAAATACCCCTTGCTCGAATTCCCAAGATGCCCCTTAACTAAATTACCCGAAATAGCCCTTCTTCCAAGTTTCCAAAATGTCCCTTGCCCAAATTACCAAAATTCCCCTCAGGTCAAACTCCCAAAATATCTAAAATCTTCACGTTCAAACCCTAGATTACCCCAATCACCCTCTTGATACTTAATTTACCAAATTCCCCTTCTTAGCCCCAATTTACCACATTGCCCTTCACCCAAAATTCCTAAAAAGTATTCTCCATCCCAAATTTCCAAAATACCCTTCAGACCTTAAATTATCGAAATACCCTTTTGAACCCGAATTACCTAACACCCCCTCTAAACTTATATCACCCCTCCAAACCCTAACTTGCCAAATCAGCCCTTTTATTTTACTAAAAGTTTATTAGCCCCCCTTGCTTTCCCATTATAGGAAGAGGCTCGAGCAAGTGAGAACGGGTCTCTCTCGGTGGTTCCCCTTTTGAAAGGCTATCAAACTAAGAGTAGAGAGAGGGGGCTCGAAGGGAGAGGAGTCATCTCGTTAGGATAACCCGAGAGGGGAGAACGAGTAGAGGAAGAGAGGGGTCTGAGAGTTTCTTATAGGGAGAAGCCAAGAGAGAGAGAGAGATCTAAGTCGAGAGGAGAAAGATGAAGTGATTTCAGGAGATAGATAGATAGATAGATAGATAGATAGATAAATAGAGAGATAGATAGATAGATAGAGAGAGAGAGATATAGATAGATAGATAGATAGATAGATAGATAGATAGATAGATAGATAGAGAGAGAGAGAGAGAGAGAGAGAGAGGTTTTTGGAGAAGATGAGTGCGAATAGGAAGGGAGAACGGAGAGAAGATAGAGGAGGTTTCGAATTGAGTGAAGAGGGGAGAGAGAGAGAGAGAGAGAGAGATCTAAGTTGAGAGGAGAAAGATGAAGTGATTTCAAGAGATAGATAGAGAGAAAGATAGATAGATAGATAGATAGAGAGAGAGAGAGAGAGACCGAAGCCCACCCAACGTCAATCCAAGATGATAAAAAATCCTTGAATCAACATCTCCAGAAGTTTGAAGGCTACATAGAGGAAACACCATTACCTCACATCTTGTCGAATATTGATTTTGCTAGACATGTAATTTGTTAGCTTGAGTTTTCTCTTATTTATTTATTTATTTTTGTTTTGTTTTGTTTAGTCTTCTATCATGCTCTTGAATTCAAGTTCGAGAATAATCGTTTCTCCCATGTCAGGGAGGATAATGAGTATTTTCTCCACTATTTTAGACTAATCGATTGAATCCGAAGGTGGAGATTTTGATAGAAAAGGAGTAAGAAATCACCCTTTTGCTCAGGCCCCTACATCCAAAAGAGGTTGGTATAAGAAATTCTCCAAACCACATCAAACCGGACAGCGAACACCCCTATAAGCCTATCCTCCAAACATGAAGACTTTTTATATTGGGTTTTTGTTTGTAGTTTTTATGATTGTCGGAAACTTCATGGAGGTTTTTTGTATTTTACTCATAATAAAAAAAAAATCAGTTAGGTGAGAGGTATTTCCCAAGTCCCCAAGTTTCCAATCCGGGCCAGGTTGCACCTGGGACCTGACTTTTTTTTTTTTTTCAATTAATTGTTAAAACTAATTAAAGTTTAGTCTTAAATTAGTAACTAACGACCGTACTAGTCGTTTCTCGTTTCTTTTGTTAAAACCTAAAAAGTAAAAACAGCTAAGTCCGAAGACGTGTAAGAAACGCGCAGCGCACGCAGTAGGCAGTAGGCAGGACATATTTGAATTTTGAATTGCGTAATGTAATGCCTTAAATTACATTATTATCAATATATATATATATATATCTATATATTAGTGTAAAGTAAACTGTCCGAAAAATAAAAAAATCAGGTCTGTTACGAATTACGATATTCAACCTACTACGATACAGGATACACTCATTAGTCATTACCTCAATTTTACTTTGCCCTTCTAAATTTTGGCTTTGGGGGCGCTACAGCCTACCGCTACGGCTACTGTTGTTGATTGTTCAAGGCCGAAGCGAACACCAGAGGGCATTTCAGTCTTTTGAGAGAAAAAATCACTTTTGAGTTTCTGACAATACTACTTAACTATGGAAAAAGCAGAAACCGGTAATACCATTCTGGTATGTGGTATGGTATCCACATCTCGAGATGTTCATGTGTCTCCATTCCGTTATTCTCGATGACCATGACCATCCCCTCTTCTTCTTCTCTGATCCCTTTTTTTTTTTAATGAAATGAAATATAAAACTCAACGTATTTATTTCATCAGATTCAGACGGTGAAAACGATTTTCTTGATATACGTGCCAGCAAACACGCTTCATAAATCGCGTACACGCGTGACTCCCCACGCCAAAACACCCCCACCCCGGGGGCCCTCCATAAGAATGGGACCCACAGGACACGCTAGATTAGATCCCAGTCCGCAACCGCATGTGGGTGCTTTCAGGAAATCCGAACGTTGGAAAGGTCGGGACGCCGAGATTAGTGCATATGTACTGTCTTTTCGCTGGCGGTCTCATGCGGATGCCCCAACCTCTAATTTACATTCAAAATAAAAAATAAAAAATAAAAAATAAAAAATATTTAATAATTTTATTAATTTCCGAAATTTGAGGGAACCGGCAAAAGCCCTCCTAATCCTAATAGAGTAGTGGTCCCGGTAGTAGGGGTGGACTGGAACTCTGGAGTCTGGAAGGAAGTAGTAGTGGCCACTGGTGACAAGCAGCAGCCAAAAGTAGTCTGTGTCTGTCTCTCTGAAATCTCTTCTCATCGCAACACCAACACCAAAGCCCCAACTATCCCATCTTCGTCTTTCTGCTGCTCTTCATCTACTACCTCCTCCCTCTCCCTCTCTGTCTCTAACAGATTAATGTAAACACCTAAACGCTCAGAAGTTCGGCTTCAAATCCGCTGCAAACACCCACAAATCCCCTAGATGGCTTTGTTTCGCTTCTTCCCCTTGTTTTTGCTCTGCATTTCCTCATTTCTGTGCTTCTGTTTCGCCGATGATCCCTTCGTCTTTTACGACTGGGAGGTCTCTTACATCACGGCTGCACCTTTGGGTGTCAAACAACAGGTTTCTTTTCTTTTTCTAACATCTCTCTATCTATTTCCTTACCTGTCGCTACATCTTCTCCTCTTGTGTTGTTTACTAGGTTTTCTTCTTTCAACCACTTGGTTTTCTCTGCTACTCTTTCGTTTATTCTGTCCATACTTATCTCGGCTAACTGAGTGCGTTTGATAATTTTGGTTTGTAGTTTTCTTTTGCTCTCCGTGATCTGGGTTCTGTGTTATGGCTTTACTCTGTTAAAATATATACAGATATTAGTGATTTTAAGTGGTATAGCTGTTGCTTTTCTTATGCATCTCTCTTCGTTGCCTTGGGTTTGCAGGTAATAGCGATTAACAGCAAGTTCCCGGGTCCTATTGTTAATGTGACTACGAATAACAACGTCGTAGTCAATGTTCTCAACAGTCTGGATGAAGATCTCCTCATTACTTGGTAGCATTCAGTTTACATTTTGCCTAGTTAATTTTGTTTAAATCTACTACGCTTTTTTTTTTTTAACTTAATCGTAGTGCTAATATGCATTGTGGGCTATAGACGTTGGAGTGATGTTTTGAAGATTTTGTCCGTGGGGATGATTTTGACAGGGACGGCATCCAGCATCGTCGTAATTCTTGGCAAGATGGCGTTCTGGGCACCAATTGTCCTATCCCTGTAGATTATAACTGGACTTACCAGTTTCAAGTCAAGGATCAGATTGGGAGTTTCTTCTACTTCCCTTCGCTCCATTTCCAGAGAGCGGCGGGTGGTTATGGAGGCATCATTATAAACAACCGGCCTATCATCCCTGTGCCTTTTGGGACCCCGGATGGAGATTTCACCATTCTCATTGGTGACTGGTACACCCAAAACCATACGGTTAGTGCTATTGCATGATCAACAAATTTTCTTGTTTTTGGAAATGAAACCCCACTGGTATCTGGGATGTAGTGGCTGATGCTGGGCCTCTTATGGTTGTAGGATCTGAGAAAAGCCCTTGATGCCAGTAAAGACCTTGGGATGCCAGACGGAGTTCTCATAAACGGGAAGGGCCCTTACAGATATAACACCACTCTCGTCCCAGATGGCATTGATTTTGAAACTTTTAATGTCCAACCAGGTAATTTGCATTATACATTTTGGGGTGCATGATGAGTCTGTGAATTTTATACCATTTTATCATATAAACATCTGCCAAACTTTTATATCTAAGAGTTGACTGATGGCATCCTTGTCCTTCCTCCATTTCTATAAAATCCAACCAATTTGATGATCTATAGAAATAGTTTCTTCCCTTTATATTTGTCCAAAGCTAAAAGCATATTTCATTCAATCAAGAAACTTGTATGACTATAGAATCGGTAATGGTACCAAGCAAGAAAGCCCAGATACAATTTCTTAGAAAGAACAAAATATACACAAGTAGTGGATAAATGAGAAGATACAGAACTTCTGCAACTGATGAATGATGAGGCAAGATCACCAACAGAAGGACCAATCAGCGCATCTCCAAGAAACTGCAACCACCATCAAGAACTGCAACTGCCAGTGGAAATATGGTCAGGAAACAGCCATGGACAGCGAAATCCAAAGCAGGGCCACTGCCCAACACCAGATCAATGAAGAGTCATCCCCCTAAACCAAAATCCCTGCACAAAAGAAGCAAAGCAAAAAACAAAAAGAATAAAGGAGAACAACTGGTGAGAAGAAAAAATGATGGGATGATGGGAAAAGGGTGAACAACTGTACAATGGAATGGATTAATCAGGAGGGAGAGAGAGGAGTGAGAAAAGGGAAGGGGAAAACAAAAAACAAGAAAAATGGGAAGAGAGGGAGAAAGTGGAAAGAAAAGAAGAGGGAGAGGGGGAACTCCCTGAGGGGCGCCACCCCAAAAGGAGACCGATGGCTGAAGATGGACAACGGTGGGTGGATGATGAGAAGAAACTCGAGGACACCTCAAGAGGGAGACTCTCTAAACAAAGAGAGAGAGAGAGAGAGAGAGAGAGAGGAAACCTCTGGATACCCCAGAGAGAAAAGCCTTGTCTGGTTCTTTATCCAAAATTTGACTGCTTAAATTGTGTTGTCAGTTAAATTAGTTGGTTAATTTGATAACACAGTTAACACATCCTGGATTGAAAATAACATGTATTGGTACCGATTAAAAAACACGTATAGGTCAGGTAGATAATAGACTATTATATGTAGCTTTAAATTTCTAACCAGGATTTGTATCAATTATTTATTCCTGATATTAGTTGTATCTTAAACTTTAACAATGTATTCTGATGCTTTAATTTATACCAAAAAAGCTGATGCTTTAATTGTTAGGATACAGAACTTAAAATTGAAAATCAGTTTCAACAGTCTATATTATCATCATTTAAAAGTAAATAAAAACAGAAAACATGATGTGGTTTTGGGGATATTTTTGGTGATATCACATCTCTTATTAACCTGGTTCCTAGATATTATTTTCATTTGTGTTTTTTTATGTGTTAAATGTTACTGTTTGCAGTTTGAATTTACAAAGTGGTTTTGGGACAGGAAAAACTTACCGTATTCGTGTACATAATGTTGGAATATCAACTACTTTGAACTTCAGGATCCAGAACCATAACCTGCTTCTTGTAGAGACAGAGGGATCATACACAGTGCAGCAAAATTATACTAGCCTAGATATTGCTGTTGGACAATCTTATTCATTTTTGGTTACCATGGATCAGAATGCAAGCACAGATTACTATGTTGTAGCAAGTGCTAGGTTTGTGAATGAATCTCTTTGGAAAAGAGTCACAGGTGTTGCAATCCTACATTATTCCAATTCCAAGGGAAAAGCATCTGGCCCTCTTCCGGATCCACCAAATGACTTTTATGACAAAACATTCTCAATGAACCAGGCAAGATCAATCAGGTTTGTTCACCTTTTCTTCTTGGTGTGTAATGGCAATCTCCCCAACCCCACCCCCCAAACATACAGACACTAGGAATTCATTTTGTATATCTTTCTCTTGGATAAATTAGAGAATTCTTTTGATGAAGTTTTCAGGGGAAAAATCTTCTGAGAACTAGTTACTCTACAATCTATTTCCTTTGACTTTAACTGGTTCCAAATTTAACAGGTGGAATGTGTCTGCTAGTGGTGCTCGCCCTAATCCACAGGGATCTTTTAGATATGGCTCTATCAATGTGACCGATATTTATGTACTGAAGAACAAGCCGCCAGTAACCATTGATGGCAAACGAAGAACCACTCTTAGTGGGATTTCATATGTCAATCCATCTACACCAATCAGGCTTGCTGACCAGTACAATGTGAAGGGGGTATACAAGCTTGATTTCCCCAATGAGCCACTTACTGGGGCACCCAGAATGTCAACATCTGTTATTAATGGTACTTACAGGGGTTTTATGGAAATCATCTTACAAAATAATCACACAACAGTCCAAAGCTATCACATGGATGGATATGCATTTTTTGTGGTTGGGTGAGCATTTCTCATCTTTTCTTAATACAAATATTTACCTGCATACATGATTATATGTCATTTTGCCTCAGTGTTAAGAATTATATAGTTCAATAAATTGTTTACAGGATGGATTTTGGAGAATGGACAGAAAACAGCAGGGGTACATATAATAAATGGGATGGAATTGCTCGCAGCACGATACAGGTGTGCTTTGATTGCTCATATTTTTAATTCTTGGTCAATTTTAATGTATTCTTCTCTTTTTCCTGTCACTGTCTAGAAAACAAAATGACAAATCTCCAAGAATATCTGTTTTTCTGGCAATGGTTTCAAAATGTGGGTTTCTGTTTCATGCACACTTTAGCAGGACCCTTTCCTTGTTTCAAATTAAGGGGGGAAGAGGCAACTAAAAGAAGCTAAATGTGGCTGTGTTGTTTTGTATAGGTATACCCTGGGGCATGGACAGCAATTTTGGTCTCCCTTGATAATGTTGGTGTCTGGAACCTCAGAACAGAAAATCTTGACTCATGGCATCTAGGTCAAGAAACGTATGTAAGGATTGTCAATCCAGAGGCCAACAATAAAACTGAGTTACCAATACCAGACAATGCCCTTTATTGTGGTGAACTCCAATCTTTGCAAAAGTATGTCACCAAACCCTTGAATACTAATCATGCTCTTTTTGCTTTTAATCATCTCCCTTAATCAAAGCTTATTCATTCAACTTCCGCTCACGTCTCTACAGGCCACAACAACGCCACCACAAGAAGAACGCTGCATCATCAATCACAGGTGGAAGATGGAATCTGTTGTACACTCTGCAAATGACTCTCTTATCTGCTTTTTTGATTTTCCACTAATCATTCATTCTGATTGGATAACTCAAAAATATTTATTGACTGGGTGGTGGTTAGTGATGTGGTTGTCTTTTTCCTGTTGTAAGTCTGAGAATGCTTGTTTGAGAGACATCTTCCAGTTGTTAGTGCTTAGGTGAGCAAAAACAAGTCTGTTATATATGAATTTTCCTAGTGATTTTAGACGTTTTTCTTGTGTCCTGGGATTCTACTACTCCCATACCCTTGTAATTCGGGTTATTGGGGGGATAGGAATTTATCATTCTTTTCGAATTGTAATTTATGTACTGGTGATTCACTACTACCCATTTCCAATACCATTTGACACCCTATACCCAAGTTAATGTGTTTTTGTAGTAAAGTTTCTATGAATGCAATCAAAGAAAAAAATATTGCGGATGTCTATTTTCCATTATAATTCATGTTTGTTGCTGAATTAGGATTTTCTCTTCACACCAATCTCATCATGTCAAGGTTCAAAATTTCGTCACATATCGGCTCGTATCGTTTTTTCGGATTATTGACATGAGAAATGGTTCTAAATCAATGATACTGTTTTTTTTTGTTGTGTCGAAAGCGTATTGAGCCCATATTGGCCATGTATCGGTATATTTCAATGAATTTTGGTTGCGTATCGGACGATACGTGATGATTTTACTGGTACAAAAATGCAAATAAAAATGATTTTGAAAGAGGGTTTTTAAACCCATTTTAGAGGCCTTTCTTCCCTCAACCATCAAGAAAGTTTCTTAACATTTTTAGAGACTCAAATCTAGCAAAAATTCATCAAACATCTACAAAATTCAAAGATTCAACAAGTTTTTCAAGGTTGTGAAAGAAAGGAGTGAAAATAGGTATGCTTTTTTAAATTTTTTTATATTTTCAACCAATGTTTTTGGGTTTTTTTTTTTTTTTTTAGTTTGGTTGCTTAAAAACATATTTATGTATGTTGATTTGCTATTTTTGTACAAAAAATCCCACATATTTTGTAGCCATATGCAGATCTTTGAGAATATTTGAAGAAATTCTAGAGTAGTAAAAATTCTGAAAAAAAATGAAACTTTTAGGTTTTTCTTGTGATCTACCTCTAGAAATTGATTATGTTGTAGATCTATGGATGATCTATGATGTCCATAGATCAATTGAATTCTTTTATAAATAATTGATTTTTTTTTTAATTTTTGAATAATATATATAATATAATTTATTTAATTTTATGTGATTTAACACTATAGGCTGAGTATGTTGTAGAGCCAAGGTAGATCTAACATGGTCCATAATTCCATACATCAAATATTCAAATATCATGTGAAAATTTTAATTTTTTTAATTTTTTAATTTTAGTTAATTTTTAAAATAAAACATGCAAAATAATTACTTGATCTATTATGTCCACAAATCCATTCAAATTTTAATAGATGTCCATGAAACCATTCAAAAAAAATATTTGTTTAATTTTTACAATAAAACATGCAAAATATTTATTTGAAAATAAATAAATATTTAAAAAATATAGAAAGTGTTTGATTAAAAAGTTACAAACTTTACATAATTATTTGATTCAATAATTATTAATTATTTAATTGGATTGGACAACACTTAGCAAAGTATCTAAAACAATTAAAAAGAATTTTTAGCAGTATTTAAATATGTTAAAAAATACAAAATAAAAGGCATTTATATATTTCACATGATAATCTATAACTTGAATGTGAACATAATTATGGATAATTATTTGCAAATTTGTGAATTTCTTTGTTAAATAAGATAATTTTAAATTTGTGATTAAATAAGTATATATGATGGATAATTGGCTATTTGGGTAATTAATGTTTGTTATTTGTTATATTATATAATTTATTTAATTACTTGTTAGATTTATGAATAATTGTTACTTATAGGTTCTAACATTAAATTTCTAAATTCTAATTAATTTTTGTGTATATGTTTTATGATAGTGTAACACTATGAATCTATGAGATTGTGACACATTGATACTTGGGAGTTGGGATTTAGAATTTGACCATTTAACCCTTTGACATGACACCTAGAAAAAGGAAAAAGATTTTGATTGTAAATATAACACCAAAATTGATGGGAATTGGTTTCATACAAAATACAACTATTGTGGTAAATTATGAAAGGTGGTGGTGTAATCCACCTGAAACAACACTTGGCAAGAGGATATCCTAGTGTTATTGATTGTCCTAAATGCCCACTAGAAATTTTTAGGGCGATGCAAAAGAATCTTAAAGAATAAAAGGTGCTGAGAAACCAACAAGAAAATGGTACAAAAATGATTAGAAGAATATTAGGGCCCAAATATGATGATGATGATGATTGATGTAGTGTGATATGACTGCTCCCTACTAGAGGATGGTCTGGTTTCCAGTCAGACGACGAGCTAGGTGAATCTGCATAACAAGATCAGAGAACCCAGGGTGGCTAGCCCGGCGAGGTCGCTCTGATGCTTAAGTTAGTAAGTTGTTGCGAGCTGAATAACTTTGAGAGTGTAGAGAGCTAGAGAGCAGAAAAATCACGCGTACCTTATGCCCTCGGGGTTGGAGCATTTATATAGTGGAGTCCTCGTGGGTCTTGCGGATTGGTTATGTGATATCCGTTACGATGGGATTCATTTCCACTTTAATTGGGAGATAACGCTATCAATTGATAAAGCTTATCAAATCCTCTCGAACCGGGCGGGGAGGGGATAAGGCTTGCCGTTATGCGGTGTGATCCCGCGGGGTTCGGAGTCTGTTGGAGAGATTTCCGGGGTCATCACGTAGTGGTCTGGATCGGTATCCCTGAGCTGATACTTTTTAGTTCCAAACTGGACTAAATGCCGAAGTGCCTTGGGGCCGCGGTGACCTTGTTCCGAAGTGACCCTATGCCGAGGTGGTTGGGTGTCCGAGCTCAACTGTTGCGAACTAGGCATGTCAGGTTAAGCTGTCATCTCTTAGTCAGGTCGCGTCCATGTGTCCCCTTTTTACTAGGTCGGGCCAAATCACCCTTCATCAATTGCCCCTCACTCCCTGAGCCAGGGGTTTCGACCCGGTGTGGGGAGTTCATGACGAGTTCAGGTGGATTTGGCACGAGGTCTAGGCGGTTTGTCGGGCGAATCATTTGGTCGGACCTGTTCGGAGTCCCGACCCAACCAGTAATAACCCAGGTCGCGTCGGGTGTATGCGTGGACGTCATGCTGTTTATGGACTCCACGGACGTAAAAAACGCGCTCAACTGATTTTGTCCTTGGGCGTCGTGCGGTCGGTTTTCATGAGAGTCGTTGGATCGGGCAGGTCTCAGCCATTGATTGCCTCGCGGTGAACTATAAATAGGTGGCCGAGGGACCCCTCTTCTTCGCCAAAAATCCTATGATTGAGCTCTCCCGAGGTCGTATCAGAGTCCTTCAGCTCGCTACTTCCTCCTTTGTATTCCAAGGTCGTTTTCCTTTTGGTGAGTTCGTCTTTTCTTAGTTTGTTCTCTTTTCTTGTTCCTGTTTCAACATGTTTAGTGCTAGCATAGATAGGCTCCTTAGCGATTCTAGTGAGCTCAAGGGTGCTGAGGTGCAGTCCTCGGCTCCCGTTGGCGAGGTCAGCTCCTCGCTAGGTAGCTCCCCCCTTCGCCTCTTAGAGGAAAACTCTTTACCTGAAGTTGGGCCATCTCGGCCTGAGGAGCCCGAAGCTTAGGAGGAGGGACCAACCTCCAGAGAGGAGGTCCCATCTTCTTCTCGGGGTCGGGATTTGGATGACTTCGGGCCTTCTACCATGACCTCAGACAAGCTGCTGTCTTTCGTAGCTCGTTATCGTCTTCTTGATAACCTAGTTTTTAGTATTCCTTTAGGTCAGTACCCTTGGGTTCATGGTCGCCATGAGCTCGCGGTTTTCGAAGATCATCTCGTAGCTGGGCTGCACTTCCCGCTCCACCCATTTATTATAGAAATAATTAAGTTTTTTGATATCACTATCGACCAACTACACTCGAACTCCATCCGAACTATAGTAGGTACTATCTCCCTGTTCCACAAGTACAACCGACCTTTGTCCTTAGACGTCTTTAGTTCGATCTGCTTAATCAAAAAGAACTCTGCTTGTTTGTGCGGGGAAGTCCGACAAAGTTACTACATCTCTCCTCGGCCCAGGTTCAAAATTCTGTTCGGCAGCCCGAACAAAGTACTGGCCTAGAAGAGAAGATACTTTTTTGTTCGRAACCCTGAGGGATGTCCCTTCCCAACTCACTAGAGGGTGGTTATTAAAGACCCTAGGGTAAGCTTAGATGCGGATATTAGGGTGGTCGTTAACTCCTAGAGGGACCTTGGCCTGAAGATGAGAGATTTCTTGGCCGAGGAGAAGCTTGTGCGAGCTGGACTGAGTCCTCCTGGTAGGCCTCCACCGAGATACTTATTTACTTTGGATTTTCTTTAGTTCGTGACTAATCTTTTCTTTTCCTCTTGTAGTAGCCATGCCGGAGGTCGATGCAGAGAACCTTCTGAAGAGCGTCCAGAGAGGGAAGAAGAGGAAGGCCTCAAAGAAGGCTCACCGGGAGGCC